GTGTGCATGTGAAGCCAGAGAACCAATTTGGTTGTTGTTTCTCAGGTACCATCCACCTTTCTGTGATTATAGGATCTTTCACTGGCCTGGAATTCACTAAGGAGACTAGGCTAGCTGGCCAACAAGCCCAAGGGATCCACCTGTTTTTAACATCCCAGCACTGGGATTTATTTACAAGCATCCATCACTACACCTAGCATGTTTTACCTGAGTTCTGGAAATCAAACTCAAGTGCTCATGCTTACAAGGCAAGCACTTTACCAAGCTATTTCCCCAGCCCCAGCTACTTCCTAAACTATGTCTCAATATTTCAAATGGGGTCACGTAACTGAATATGGGTGTCAAAAAGGGGGGGGGGAGCAAGAGTGAAAAGTTTCTGAATGCACAAGGACAAAAAATTAACTCAAAGTCAAATGTTTTAAGAAATTCAAGGTGCTCTTGGCAAAGCTTGCCTGTGTTATATCATGTAACTTCACTACAGTCTTGGATCTAGAAATAAAACATGTGAACTGCACTGCCCACACTGTCATTCCATATAACCTAAAACATCACAGTTCAGAACCAAGACTACTATATGCTGCAAATTGCAGTGTTTTTACTGTATATACAAAATTTTCTGCTCTTATGGAAACACAATAGTTTAATTATAGCAAAGACTTTTAATGTTTTCCTATTGTTAATGCTTCAATGAGTCACATTAATATATCTTTAAATTCTATTGTTAGAATGTTTGATTTAAAAACCACTGAGTTACTGACTTGAGTTTCTAAGAAATCATTAAATGAATTTTGATTTGTGATTAAGACAAAATTTCCAACAATTTCTTTTAGCATATTTTATATGTATGAGTGTACTGCCTGCATGTATATGAGTGCAACCATGTCGTGCAATGCCCATGGAGGTCAGAAGAGGGCATCAGATTCCCCCTGGAACTGGAGTTACAAACAGTTGTTAGCTGCCACATGAGTGCTGGCAATCAAACCCCAGTCCTCTGCAAAAGTAGCCAGTGCTCTTAACTGCTGAGCCATCTCTCCAGTCCAAAATTTCCAACAATTTCTAAAGTGGCCATAAACATATTTCTGCCATTTTGTACTACATATTTATTCAAAATTACATTCTCAGAATCAACAATTATAAAATCAAAGTATGATCAACTCTGAAAACACTGAAGAGGGAGCTGGAAAGATACCTCAGTGGTTAAATGCACTCCTTGCTCTTCCAGAGGAGTGGAATTTATAGCACCCAGATGGGATGGCTCACAATCACCCGTATGTAACTCCAACTCCAGGGGGATCTGAAGCCCTCCTCTGGTTTCTGATGGCACTGTACTCATGTGCACAGACCCAGACCCCCACACACATAATTAAAAGTTAATAATCTTAGAAGAAAACATTGAAGTGGCACCATGTCCTGCAGTATCAAATATTCAGCCAAGAGTTCTATAAAATAAACAAGCACAGCCACCTAATCAGCATGCAAATCTGCTTTACTCTTTAGTAAATGGTAAAAATTATGTGCATCGAAGAATTATTTTAAATTTATGATTATCTGTGACTTGTTTACCTATCTTACATATCTATATACCTCAAGTCACATAAAAGTTTCTAGGATGAGCTAAAAGTCAAAATGTCCTTGGGCTTCTTAGCAACATACTCTGTTCCAAAGGCCAAAATGTTACAAGTATTTGGGAGCTTGTATCTAATCCTTAAAGATTTTAGGGTTACCTCTTCAGAGGGGGGAATGTTAGAGTAGCCAAAAGCCCCATAAAAATAAATAAAAGAAGGAGTACATGAAGTTATCAGAAAAGTAATGGGGAGATATGGGAGGAATTAGATGGGGAAGGAGTAGGCATGGATTTGATTAAAACTCCTTATATGCATATATGAAATTCTCAGTAAATTATTTATTTTTTAAAAGTTTCTTGGATGAAAAGGGATTGTGAGTGGGAAAAGTTTAAGAAGCCCTAGACAGTGTGATCAGATGAACCCATACTGAGGGATGACTGAGTGTCAAATGGACAGAACTACTTGTTCAATTTTCAAAAATGTGCTATTTGTCTATGTTTTCTTGCATGTACATGTGCATGTGTATGTATGTGTGCATGCAGATGCATGTGAAGTTCAGAGGTCAATACTGGGTGTCTTCCTCAATCACTTTCTGTTAGGGTTCCAAACAGCAGCAGTTTCCCCCCCTCCCCAACAGGGACCTCACCTTGACCTTTGAAGTCAAGGGAAAAAAACTCTGCTGAGAAGCAACCTGCCTTTCCTCTGACCTCCAAAAATAAGATAAGCAGATTCTACCTGTTAACCAGAGATTTTAGAAGTTGTTTATCGCAACAGCTTTTCTTTTAAGAGGGAAAAAGTAAACACTTCCAGACCCTAATCCTACCTGCTTTTCCTGCTTCCCCCTCCCTGATTTCTCCCCCAAACATTCCCCCCTTCTACACCCTAAAGCCCCCATATATAAGTCCCAGCTCACAACCCGTGGGCTGACATCTTTCCCTTCCCTGACATCTTTCCCTTCCCTGCCCTTCCCTGACATTTTTCCCTTCCCCGAGGGAAACGTGTCCTGTGTGAAATAAAGCTGTATCCCGCTGAGAATCCTATCTGTGCCTCGGTGCCTCCTCCATCCATCCACGCCGCTCTCTCCAACATTTTAACCTATCACTCTCCATCTTATTTTTTATCATACTTGTGTGTATATACACATGCATGTGTGAGTACGTGTGCATAAGTGTGTATGTGCCACAACATGCCTATGAAAAGTTAAAGAACAACTCATGGGAGTAAGTTTTCTCTTTCCATCATGTGGATTCTAACTCAGGTCATCATATTTAGGAACAAGTACCTTTCTTTACCTGCTAAGTGATCTTGCTGGCCCTCCACCTTACTTCTTGAGACAAGGTCTCTCACTATAAATCTTGCTCCCTGATTTAGCTACACTGGCTAGCCAACAAGTCCAGGCACTGGGATTACAGGCACGCACTGAATGCATAGGGCTTAGTATATTTTCTATTGCTATAACAAAAGACCTAAGACTGAGTAACTTATAAAGAGATGTATTTAGTTTGCATTTCCAGAGGCTAGGAGGCACGAGCATTTGGTAAGAGCTTTCTTGCTGTTTCCTAATATGATGGAGGGCGCCAGTGAGACAGAGCACACATGCTTGCAAGAGCTCATTATGGTAAAAGATCCACTTCCACAATAACTCAGCAATCTACGAATTCATGGATGGAATAATCTCTTAATAAAGGAAACACTCAATCACCTCTCAAAGATCCTACCTTCAAACACTATTAACAAAGGAATTTTGGGTCTAAGTTTCCAACACATAAAATTTAGAGGGACATTCAAACCCTACCAACATTCACCTATGTGGTCTCATTCTAACGTTACATTACTTAGTACTAAGATTTTCTCTTATGGAGAAAGAATTCAGTGTACAGGAGAATGCCCCTTTTCTGCCATACAGTTTTTCAACTGAAAAGAAATTGGAAAGCCAGTGTGGTGGTATGCCTCTGTGGATCCAAAATCTGGGAGGCTGAGGCAGGAACACCCAAGTTCAAGGTCAGACACCTATAATTCCAGCACATTTGGGAGACCGATGCAGGCGGACTGCCGTCAGTTTGAGGTCAAACTAGGCTACAGGGTGAGACTCTTGTTTTTTGTTTTCTTTAAAAAAAAATTTTTTTTTTAAAGGTAATGGTCAGCCTGGTTAATTAAGAGACAATCTCAAAAATGGTTTGGGATATAATATAGAACCTCAGAAACTGAGTTCTTGTCTAACAAGTGTGAGGCCCTGGGTTCAAGCTAAGAACTGAAAGAAAACAATGAAGGGGGGGTTAGAAATTGGAGAACCTCATTCCTAAGCAGGGCCATTGCGCCCAATACTCCGATCTGAAATTACTAAGCCAAATGTCAGAAAAAGTGCAGCCTCGCTTAGCACAATAGCTCACACCTTAACTGAAGCGAGCGGACTGCCACGGGTGCAAAGCCGGTCTAAGACACAGTGGGACCTTGTCAGATACACAAAAAGAAAAAGTGCTGCCCCCAAAGAAGCATCTTCTAAAACCACAAAGCATCCTTAGGTTCCCACTCGGGACTGTGAGTCTCACTCACCCACTGGGGCCCTAAGGTTCTGTAAATTCCGCCACCTCGAGCATTTAACTGCTCACAGCCTTGGAAACATCCCGAGCCTGACGGCTAGGGCAACAGGACCCCAATTACCTAGAAAACTGGACCTCAAAAGCAAGCAAACGCCTGCTACCTACGTACGACCGAAGGGACTCCCGCCCGTTACTCTCCCGCCCAGTCAGGACGCCATCGCAGCCCCATCAGCCGCAGCGGAAGTCACCACGCGACCCCTTGCCGCGCTTTCACCACGTCCCCGACGGCTGTCCAAAAAATTAGAAATAAATAGAAATGTTCTATATGATCACATGCTCCTATCGTAGCGGTAAATTTGACTACAAAAATAAATTAAAGCCTACATATTTTTTTTTAGCGGCTTAAACGGCTCACAGTCGCTGCGAATCTGCAGCTGCATCTCCGGAAGTGCAGCTCTTCCGCCGGAAGTTGCGTTTCCTCCATTTTGTGGCCCGTTATGGCGGCTGTGTTGAAGTTGTTGAGGGGATGCGGCACCTTTGACTGAGGGAGTAGGCTAAGGGAGGCATCAGGGACCTTGCGCGGCACAGCAGCGGACTGGCCCGGACGCCTGGGACGCTGTCATGTACGGCGCTGGCGGGGGCCGAGCCAAACCGGAGAGGAAAGGCAGCGCGAAGGAGGAGGCCGGGGCCGGCGGCGCTGGCGGTGGGGGCAGCCGGGTGGAGCTTTTGGTTTTCGGCTATGCCTGCAAGTTGTTCCGCGACGACGAGCGGGCCCTGGCCCAGGAACAGGGACAACACCTCATCCCCTGGATGGGGGACCACAAGATCCTCATCGACAGGTCGGTTTCAACCCCCACCCGTCGACTCTCCCCTCCCTCGCCCGCTTGATTTCGCCTGATGTTGACTTGATGGCCAGGACTGGAAAGGGGTTTTGCGGAGCCCGGGGACCCGGGGGCCTCCCTGCTCCACGTTCCCCGGCGTACGGGGGGAGGGGACGGTGAAACCGGCCCTAAGGCTCCGGCCAGAGCTGGCGCCGCGCCTGTCGCCGGAGGGATCGACTCTGCTCCCGCAGCCCTCCGAACCCGGGCTGCCGCTGGCGACTCCGCGCGGTGGAAGCTGCCCGGGCCTCCAGCCCGCGCCGTGGGGCGGGCGCCGCTGTCCCTCGGCTCGCTGTGCGGGAGGGAGCCGGGAGCGCGCTTTTGTACCTCCGAACCGCCGCACGCTGAGGCCATGGGTAGAAGCCTCTTTTGGACCCCGCGAGTTAGCCTGAACCGTTTCTGCCCCGGCGTCCTCTGGACGGCTTGACTTTTGGCGTCCGGCGAGCCCCTCCCCGGGATAATGCGACCATATGACCCACTGCGGTTGTGGGTGAAGTTGTCATCATTTGGAGGCCGGTCGACCCCGTGCGGACCCCGACCTTGTCCTTAGGAGTAGCGTTCTTAGGGCTGGTTTCACTGTCCTGTAAAAGCAGTAGGGTGGAGCTGGGTTACCTTTGTGTTGTTTCTTTTCAAATCACACCCGCTTTAGAGAATCATCCTGGACGTGCCTGAAGTTGAGGGGGAGGGGCGGGGGCAGGGGATTTCTAAAGGTGTTTGATTTGAAAAGGATGACATTACATGATGTAGGTTGTTTGCTCCCCACTTCTCCACTCACTTTTTAGGCCCGCATTCCTTTCCCTCCCCCCTAGGTTTAGGTATTTGTCTTCTCATTGAGCAATATTGCTTCGGGGGCCAGGACTGAAAGGCAAAACTGTGACCAACCATTAAGCTGTGGAATAGGTTCTCTCCAAGTGGAGGAAACTCATCATTTGAGACGAGTATAACTGGATTCTGCAAAGACCTGGAACATGCATGACTATAGGGATGACCTCTGAGCTGGCCAGAATGGACACATTAGTGACCAGTAGGCCTTTTGCCATTCCTGACCTATCCATTTGGAGGTAGAGCTAGGAAAAAAGAACTTGTGAAGAGAGTATTAGAAATCAAATCGACTCTGATCTGGTAGTCCACTCTGCTGGAAGGTGCTATGCTTTTGAACCACAGTTGTAGCCAGTGATGTTATCTGATCCATAAGGCTTGCTTCCCAAGGATTCCTTATGACATGTACTGTTTTAGTTGGGCAAACACTGAGGTCTCAGCTCCTGTACAGTTTCCATACCATTCTGTGCATGATTTGAGCTAGGTCTCCCAAAACTGGTGGGGAGCAAACGCCACACATGTACATGTGAATATTAATAATCTACATTTGTAAGTTAAGGAGGTTTACATCAAAGTAAAACTAATTTTGAAAAGTAATAAAATGCAACCGTTGGGGTTCCCTAGAATTTTTTCTTTCTCCTGTGGTGCATTTTTTTTTCCCCTTAATTTGGTCCCTGTTACAAAAGTCAACATTCATAAATTAGTCAGACTTTTGTCATTCCACATTCACTTTTGTGACCTAAATCTGAGTATTCAAGTTTTGCTAACTCATTTATAGTCTGACAGTTGTACATTGACACTTGAACATTGACAGCATCTTCATTGAATCTTGTTAGAACATAGCAGAAAGTTCTTCTTTTTCCTAACTCAGTAAAGTACCTGTTGGTCCTCATGGATGTGCCTTCATTCTGGGATTTGAAGTTTAAGGGAAATACCAATGCACCTTGTAATAATTTTGCCCTATTTCCAGTGAACCTCCTTAAACTGCATGTATATGTCACTGTTCCTATGTATGTGTGTCTCTCTACCACATAACCCAGCACTTATTTCCTCAGCCAAGTGGCTAGGGGCGAGCCTAGCCAAGATTTTACCTCCAATGGACGCAAGTTTCTTTGGTGAAGATCTCTCCTGAGAGTTCGGGACTAGCAGGAAGAAGCGAGGAAAGTTCGCCCGTTTGGTTCTGTCGGATAGGTATTTATGGACTCGGTCTGTGTGAATGTAAGCTGTGATATTTAACTACGGAGAAAAAAAATTTGCAAGTGACATTGAATGGTTGACCAAAACATACATGGTAAGAACTGCTAGAGAGGGGGATGCCATTTATTCTCTGAAGGATTGTCTGCCTTTAGCTCTCTCGTACTCTAGAAAGGAGCTTAGACTTTGTTAAGATAATTTCAGTTTAAAAGTAGGTGCGATAAGACTAGCCACATTAAATATAAATCTGAAGCTTGCATTTGTTTTAATATTTTTATTTCTTTATTTTAATTGGTAAGTATGTACATAGAGAGTCACACGCAACCAGCATGGGTGTTGACTTCTGTCCACTGACCAGCGCGTTCACATTACAGATACGACGGGCGTGGTCACCTACATGACCTCTCTGCCTACGATGCTGAGTACGCCACATGGAACCGAGACTACCAGCTGTCTGAAGAGGAGGCGCGGGTAGAAGCACTGTGTGATGAAGAGAGGTATTTAGCCTTGCATACGGACTTGCTTGAGGAGGAGGCAAGGCAAGGTACTGCTCAAGAAAGACTTACTTCAGCCACACCTTTTAAATTTTTAAGTATTTAAAAAGTTTACTCCCATTCATTTTTTTATACTCACTCTTTCTGATATTATCTTGACAGTACCCAGTGGATTGGAAAAACAGGAGTCTTTGCGTTCTGAGAGGACCTCAGGATAGTTTATATGTAGAACCACAAAGAATTTTCCCAGCTTTTGAGGGCAGACTGGGAAAAAAAAAAAACAAAAACAAAAAACTCTTTAACTCTTCTTCTTTAACAGTATTGTATGAATTAAAATCGATGTTCTTATTATCTTTGCCTTAATGATCTTTAATACAGTTCTTAATCCCAAAATTTCCTCAGCAGGAAGAAATTTTCCATAAAAAGACGTGTATTCTGCTGTCTATGGGTAAACATGTGCTGGAAAAAGTACATACTGTGCATTTTCAGAAACATTTTCACCTCAAAAAGGTTGAAAAAAGTATATGCATTACTGATAGCTACAACTTTAGAAATGTATGAAGTTTTTCCTCAGTTAACTTCCATTTTTATTAATAACATTCTCATTTTTATTCAAGAGGAAGAATACAAAAGACTGAGTGAAGCACTGGCAGAAGATGGGAACTACAGTGCCGTAGGTTTCACTTATGGCAGTGACTATTATGACCCATCAGAGCCAACGGAAGAGGAGGAACCCTCCAAACAGAGAGGTGAGGGGATAGGTGCCCTGTCCCACATGGACACTAACCCTAGCACTACCAGGACATTAATAAAGTTCCTTCTTTGGAACAAAGCTAGAAACTAGAAAGTAATTTGTGAATGGCAGTGGAAAGTGAATTGTGACTTATATTATCTGCCTGGATCCAGTAGCTTTTTGTCTGCTCCTTTTGGGGTGGGGCACAGTAAGTTCCTCACTCTGGGTTCTGTGCTTCTGCCTCAAATACATACCCTTCAGGGCCTCAGTGATCTGTTCAGGGTGTCAGTGGAAGGTTGGTGTTAGCTAGGATACGTTAATATCCCCTTCCCTCATGTGGGTACTTCTGTACAGCCTCTCCCCAACAGAAACATCCATTGCAAAGACACCCGTGAGACTTGTCATATATAAAATTAAAGGTTTTGAATTAGTGCTTTCTCTGTACTAATGTGGGCACTTTGAATATAAAAAATAGTGCTACCAAAATACTCTCACACGTGTAGTATCAGAAGTGTCCTTGGTGGTGGTGATGTCCATGAGCTCTGAGACCACCATTATTACAGCAGCAGGTACCAGTCAGCTTTTGTCAATAGCAGTCACGTGAACCTCAGGCATTAATCAGGGTGTTCTGTTCAAGGAAGAGGAAAACTTTTACATTGTAAAGCCATTTGGATATTTAGAATAGCAAACTAGATCATATGCTATGGAGATTTAATGTCAAAACTAATGACATCTGTTAAGTAAGGAGTGTGAAGTGAGATGGCAGCTTCATATTCATATGAAAACAAGATGCTGTCCAGCCTTCTGCGTGCAGCTGCACAAGGGTCCTTCCTACCACATCCCATCCACTGAGAGGTGTATAAAACAGCAGGCAAACATGAGTGTGCCTGCAGATTCTCCTTCCTGCCCCTTCTTGCTGGTCACACCCTTCTGGGCAAAAGAGTCACATGTACAGTTGTTCTGTGGACTTGGAGTGAGGCTTTCCAAGTGCAGTTGTGATCATGTTGAGAGAGGCCACTTAAGGAACCATCTGCTTTCTGTACTGCCTTTCTTTTTTCTTCTTGAGACAGGATCTTTCTGTGTAGCCCTGACTCATCTAGCTTGTATCTTACCACATAAACCAGATGGGCCTCACGTTCATGTTCCTCCTCCTGCTTCTGCCTTCTAAGTGCTGAGATTACAGCATTACAGCCCTGTGTGTCACCACACCCCACCTGCTTCATATTTTTCACAAGTGTTTTACAACTTAATCATTGAAATTTATTGTCCTGAAATTGATTACCTTGTGTTCTGCCTAATGTTATTGGAGATCCACAGAAGCAGTTGGAGGGTGGTCTTAATGCCAGTACATATGTAAAAAAGAGGGTCCGAGAAAGGCAAAAGAGAACATTCATCAGAAGGCCTAGACATATAGCTCAGGGGTAGAGCAGGTGTCTGGCATGGGAAGGCCCTGGTTCTGTCAACACTGCCAGAAAATTACTTAGTCTTGAATATTGTACAGCAGTACAGACTTGACTAAGATATTTGGGCAAAAGTAAGACTTTAACCACATTCATCAGGGGGCTAAGGAGATGAGTAAAAAGCATTTGCTACACAAGGGTGAGAGTGAGTTTGAATACTTAAACTCATGTAAAAGCTGAAAGCAGTAATGTGAGCATATGTACTCCTAACTCCCCTACAGGGAGATGGGAGACAGATGAGAATTTATGAAAGCTTGAAGGCCAGTTAGCCTAGTGAACACAACGCAAAAACAACAAAGACACCCTGTCTCAAACATGGTAAAAGACAGAGCTGGAGAGATGGCTCAGCAGTTAAGAGCACTGGCTGCTCTTACAGAGGGACCCAGGTTTGATTCCCAGCACCCACATGGTGGCTAAAACCATTTGTAACTCTAGTTCCAGGGAATCCGACACCCTCTTCTGACCTCCAAGGGCATTGCACAACACAGGTGCACCTACCTACATGTAGGCAAAAAAAAAAAAAACAAGATAGAAGGCAAGATCTGATACCCAAAGTTGTCCTCTGACTTCCATTATAGAGTCCCTGGTCAGCTTTGAGGGAGATGCCCTCATGAATAAGCTCATACCAGGGAAGTCTGCACTGAGCAGACAGAAATGGAGGTGGAAGAGAAGCATATGTCCAAAATCCTAGAGCTGAGAAATGCCTTGGCTAGAGTTGAGTCTTCCACCACTCCAGAAACATGCTCCTGCTGCTCATCTACCACCTCTGGAATCCATGAAGGGAAGGATACTCACCAGGTGGACTGAAACAGAAAACTGGAAGTGGTTTTTGGCAGCATTGGTACAGAGTAAAAGAACAAGGGAAAGCCCACACTGCTCTTCTCTTCCCTTAGTGGGTCATTGTGTTTAAATTTTTTAATTACTTTTTTTCTTTTAACAGAAAAAAATGAGGCTGAAAACTTGGATGAAAATGAAGAGCCGTTCATTGCTCCTTTAGGATTGAATGTCCCATCTGACGTGGAGCTGGTATGTGTACTTCTTCACAAGCTTCATTCTAGTTTGCTATTAATCGTGGCACATAGGAGTACAGTAGTAAAACACGGCTCTGTTTAGGTGCTTCGTGCTGTAGTATTTCTAAATTAGTAGGGGAAGGATCAAAGCCCACTTGTTATTGAGGGAAAATGGGTGCCAGGTATAGTGGTACATATTTATCCTCTTAAGACTTGGAAGGCTGAGGTAGGAGGATCTCAAGTTCCAGGCCAGCCTAAGCTTCAGAGTGAGAGCCTGTCTCAAAAAACAAGAGGTTTGGGGAGATGGCTCAGCCGTTAAGAGCACTGGCTGCTCTTGCAAAAGACCCACCACCCACATGGCAGCTATCAACCATCCATAACTCCAGTTCCAGGGGAATCTGACACCCTCTTCTGACCTCCCAGGGCATTGTACAGCATGGATGTACTTATATACATGCAGACAATACACTCATACACATAAAGTTAAACAACTAACTCAAAAGGAAAAGAGCTGGAGAGATGACTTGGTGGTTAAAGGTACTTTAGTTCCCAGCACCCAGATCAAGTGGTTCACAACCCATTGTAACTCCAGTTCCAGGAGATCTGATGTCTTCTGGCCTCTGTGAACACCTGTATGCATGTGATGCACATTAATACATGCAGGCGCACATATATACATAAATAAAATAAATAGGTTTTTTAAGGGTATGTCTCTTGGGGGTGGGGGGAGAAGAGCAGATAAGAAAATGAAAATATAGCAAAGAAACTAGCCTAACATGTCAGTGAGTTGAATGGGAGCTCTTTGAAGGCTTTGTGTGGCTCTCCAGCATTACCATACACATCGGGACTGGGGTGAGTGTACTGTCATCCATACACGTGTGAAAGTAGTTGTGCTTGAGGCAGCCTTGTTCTCAGCAAAGTGCCTGACTGACTTTTTCTGGGATGATTTGGGGGACACTTGATCTTTACCTTGCATTTTCTGGGCAGTTTCTTGGGTCATAATCACTCCCCGTGATGTATTCAGGCCACCCTTCCATGGATACGGAAAAGTTGAGGTACAGCTCCATTTGTGAAGTACTCTGCTGTTGGCTGTCTGTAGGGCTGATGCTCTGGTTGAATGTCTGTCTCACCTAATGATTGCCATGCCATCGCACCTTGTTAAATGAACATTAAGTTATGAACATTAAAACCAAAACTGGGGCCTGTCTAAACATTTATAGAGGGATTTCTGCATTAACCTAGGTGGGGTGCTAAGCTGCCTTTTAGCACCTTCTGTCTTGATGCTAATAATTACGTCAGAGAACTCCTTTTATTTCCCCTTTCCAGGCCAGGAGACTTGAGACTTGGGAAAGTCTAGAATTTAGCTAATGAGTGAGATGTAGTGCATATGGCCAGTCTCAGCACTTGGGAGGTAGAAGAGATAAGGGGATCAAGAGGTTAAGACCAGTCTGGGCTATGTGAGACCTTGTCTCGAAAAACAAAAGGAATTTGACAAATGGTAGACAGGAACTCACACCCATGATCTTAATTATTCTGTTTTCTTGGGTCACCATGCTTTGTGGTATTTTTATACATTTAGTAGGGATGTTGAAAATATTTTGACTATAGATACTTTCTCTTTTTTCATTTATTTATTTATTTATTGTTTGGGTTTTGGATATGCAAACCAGGCTAGAGAAAACTTTTGGAGTAGGTTATTTCCTCTACCACATAGGTTCCAAAGCATTACCTTTGGACTTTACCATTGAACTTTTCACAATGTAGGTTCTGGGGATTGAACTCAGGTTGTCGGGCTTGACAGCAAGCACCTTTACCTTCTGAGCAAGTTTTATTTCTGTTTATGTTTTTCTAGTATAGTTTTCTCTTTTTTGATAATAAAAATATTTTTAAATTTTTTTTAAATTTATTTTTATTTTATGTGTATGAGTGTTTTGCCTGCATTTATGTAAGTGCACCTGTGTCTTATGCCTGCGGAGGCTAGAAAAGGGCATTAGATTCCCCTGAAACCAGAGTTACATACAGTTGTTAGCCACCACATGGGTGCTGGAAACAGAACCCAGGTCCTCTGCAAAAGCAACCAATGCTCTTAAACTGTTGAGCCATCCCTCTAATCCCAATATTAAAAATATTGTACATCATCAAGTGTGGTGGCACAAACCTTTAATCACAGCGCTCAGGAGATGAGGCAGGCAGGTCTCTCTTGAGTTTGAAACTAGCCTGGTCTACGTAATTTCAGGCCAGCTAGGGCTACAAAGTGGAAACCCTGTCTCAGAAAACAAAACAAAATTGCATTTATTTATTTTCTGTGTGCACACACAGCATATGTGTGAAGGTCAGAAGGACAACTTTCATAAGTCATTTCCTTCTATCACATGGGTTCTGGAGATTGAATGAACTCAGGTTGTCAGGCTTGACAGCAGGCACCTTTGCCTGCTGAGCCATCTCGTTGGCCCTGATGAAATGTCTCTTATTCCTTATTTTAAAAGAAGATGAACTAATCACATGACTTTTTATTTTTCGTCCCAGCCACCAACAGCCAAAATGCATGCTATCATCGAGCGCACAGCCAATTTTGTATGCAAGCAAGGAGCACAATTTGAGATAATGCTGAAGGCCAAGCAAGCACGAAACTCACAATTTGACTTCCTGCGCTTTGATCACTACCTCAACCCCTACTACAAATTCATCCAGAAAGCTATGAAAGAAGGACGGTACACGGCACTGGCAGAAAACAAAAGTGAGGAGAAAAAAAGTATGTGGATCTCTTCTACCTTGGTATCTCAGGGTGTGGTAGGTGAGGGGAGTTCTAGAAGTATGAAGTTATCCATTCTCAAAAGGGCATAGCTGAAATCCAGACTAGGAGTCTTAGGGTGTTTAGGAAATCCCTACCAGCACACCATTTCTTACAAATGGTTGGATACAGTTAAATATTGATACCATTCCAGCTGAAGAGATGGCTCAGCAGTTAAGAGCACTGGTTGCTCTTGTAGAGGGCCCAGGTTCAATGCCCAGCACCCACATAGTGACTAACTACCATCTGTAGCTCCAGTTCCAGAGATGTGACATGGGTACTCTTGCATTCAGGCAATACACTCATACACATAAAATAAAAATAACAAATAAAATTAAAAACTATATATTGATGCCATTCAAGCATGTGGGCGAGAAATTTCCCTCTCATTTTGGCTGCTTAACATTTCATGGAATAAAAAGACTTCCTTTCTCATATTACTGTAAGTGCTCATGCTTGTACCATGGTATTCAGAACAAAAAATTAAATCATACATGTTTTCAAAAGTGAAGATGATTCATTTTACTTGGATTATCTGTCTGAAGCTGTTGTTTTTTAGCGTTTCTGTTCATTCAGAGTTCTTACAAAGATAATCGTCTCTATTTTGAATAATACCAAGGGACAAACCTCTCTGTGTTTTCCATTGAATCTTGTTCTCTTTAGCTGATGTCAGATGGTTTCAGATCAATTGTGTAAGTCTTTTTTTCTGTAGTTTACCCATCTCACAGATTTGCACATGCTAGGTAAACACTCTGTCACTGTTACACCCTTGCCCTCAGTTGCATAAATCTTACTGCAGATCATATCTATTCCATCTTTGTGGTAGTTTTTGTTTATTTCTTATTGGTATTGTTTTGCTTTTCATGAATCAAGGCTTTTGCCTTTTTGAAAAATAAAAACAAAGCTTTACAGCACTGCAGTAAATCCTAAAGGGAGGCTGTAAGGTGAAGGAGGTCCCTTTCTGTCTGGCTTTTTTTCTGAACAACTTATATAACAATGAGGAACATTCCCCTATGGGTTTTGTATATAGATAACCAAGAAATGACTAAGCAGGGCTCTGGTCTTGTTTGCTTGTGAGTTTTTCCACAATTCATTTGTACTTTTTATTACCATATACCACAATCTTATTTTTTTAATTTAATTTTTATTTTATGTGTGAATGTTCTGCCTGCATGTACATAAGTACACCTGTGTCCTGCAGAGCCTGCAGAGGACAGAAGAGGTCGAATTCCTTGGAACTGGAGTTACAAAAGGTTTTTAGCTTCCATGTAGGTGCTGGGATTTGAACCTGGGTCCTCTGCAAGAACAGCCCTTGTTCTTAACCACTGTGGAGTCATCTCTCCAGCCCCCCAAAATTCTTTTTTTTTTTTTTTTTTTAGCATTTATTTATGTGGGTACAGAAGCCACATGTTTTTCATAGCATACATGTGAAGGTCAGAGGCTAACTGGCAAGAATCAGTTCTCTCCTTCCATCATGTAGGTCCAGGGATTAAGCTCAGGTCATCAGCCTTGGAGGCAAGTGTCTTTATTCTCTGAGCTATCTAGCCAGCCCCCAAGTCTTTTTTAAAAACATTTATTTATTTTGGTTTTTGAAACAATGTCTCATGTAACCCAGACTCACCTTTATCTCCTGATCCTCTTGCTTCCATTGCCTATGTGCTGAACTTAAAGGCATGTCCTACCATGCCCAGCAAAATCCCTTTAAATATTATTTTAGTTGTGCATATTTATGGAATGCAGAGTGATAAGTTAATACAGTTAAACCAAAAAACTAAGATTTTTTTTGAGGTACAACCTGATTGCATAAACCAGACTGGCCTCAAATTTGGGTGATTTTCCTACCTCCCAAGTCCTGGGATTATAGGTGTAAGCCACCACACCTGACTAACAAACATCTTGAATTTCTGTTTCAGAGTCAGGGATGAGCTCTGACAATGAAGACGAAGATGATGAGGAAGATGGGAGTTACCTACACCCATCTCTCTTTGCTTCCAAGAAGAGCAACCGCCTTGAAGAGCTGATGAAGGTCTTTATCTCCTCACTAAATTGTGTTTTTATGCTACAACATATGCTGCTGATTTTAAGTTGTTAAATATGAAGCTTGCCATTGCTTATGTGTTACAACTCTGTCTTATTTTATCATCATTGAAGTGTCTACATTCTTTGTTTTCCATTCAGTGACAAAGCATTTGTTTCCTGTATTTCCTATATTTACAAATTTCACAAGCAAACTGTTTATGTTTTATTATATTTTTACCCTCTAGGACTTTTAGAATAAGTAGTGTTGGTGAAGACTTGAAAATTGTTTTGTCATGTAAATTTCAGTTTAGAATTGAATTTTATAGGTATTTGGAATATCTGTTTCCTGAAGTCCTTTGTTGCCTTCATTAACAGTTTCTACATAAATGTTTTGACTTCTGACCCTCCCTTCATCCTTATGGGGAAACTATCACTTGCTCACTCTACTGTTTATAGTGTAAAAAAGAGTAATCTGTGAGTTTGAAGCATGGTTTTTCAGCAGCCATACAGTGTAGCTGATGTCAGGAAGGAATGGCTCTTGATTATTGAGAGGATAAAAGCTGTTGATGAAAAATCAAGTTCCACTGAGGAAGTGCGAAGCTTGGATGCATAGCCTTCTTTTTTATTGAGACAGGGTCTCCCTGTGGCCCAACTGGCCTGGAACTCATTGTGTGGACCAGGCTGACCTTGAATTTACAGAGATCTGCCTGCCTCTGATGGGATTAAAGGCGTGTACCACCACACCCAGCTTCTGTGAATAGCAGACTGATCCTGATGTTGCTCCTGCCTTTGCTTAAAACTTGTTATGGAGATGAAAATTGCTTAGTTCCTGTGGTATGCAGCCAGGTGGAGCACTTGGCCTCAAGTAGGCAGGATCAGCCAAAATAACAGTGGCTCTCAGCAGGAAAGCTATGTTTGAGACTTTGCAGAAGATTGTGATTGGGAGTGAGTGCTCTCACGGGTGGTGGCATGTTCAGGGAGATAAAGGAAGACTGGGGCTCGAAGGCATAAGGAGGAGAGTTAAAAGGGCTGTTAATAGAACAATTATTGACAGCGTGATCAGTGATCAGGAGACCAGTGTTGAGCATGCAGCTGCAGGGCAAGCATACTTGCACGAGCACAGGTGTGAGTCTGACAAGGTTTTATGTTTATGGTGATCAGGTACACATGCATACAATCCTACTTCTATGCCCTCCCAGCTTTGCTTTGTTCTATGCCTGACATAAGTGGCTGCTGTGTTGGCAGCTTTCATAGTATCTTAAGTGTATGCTGAGGTTTTTCTAAGGCACGCCCACTGTACTGTGAAGTTGAGGCTTTTCTCAACAGAAGAGTTTTACATAGTTCAGAACACAGAAAATGTAAGGCCACGTGTGTTCTCTGTCCTTAGCCCTTGAAGGTAGTGGACCCGGATCATCCCCTAGCAGCCCTTGTCCGTAAAGCACAGGCTGACAGCTCTGCTCCGGCCCCACCCTCTGCAGATGGCACAACTGCACAACCTTCCCAGGTGGAGTACACCACAGACTGTGAGTATCCACTGAGTATTCTGATCTACATTCATCTTGTGGGGACCCACTACCACAGTGCTCTCCCTCAGGCAGTGGTGTGGAGCTTTCACTCCATACCTCCTCCATGGTCCAGGAGGAAGGCACCTGGAGGCCATCTGTTTGCCTGGCCTCTGGCTCTGCATTCCTGAAAGAAAAGTGGAGCAAAGGCAGAAAAGCAAGGGCTGGCCTTAGAGTTTGACAACTTTGCTGCCCTAAACAGAGTCACAATCCTATTAAAAGTGGGATAAGCAGACACTGGATAGACAATGCAGTATCCTTGCTGAGGAGTTCGATGATAATCTGTTGAGAATGCCTGATAGTGGCACAGGATTAGGCAGGCACGGTTCTGCTGAGAAGACAAGCAGGAAGAGCAGATTCTGGAAAGACATGAGATTACCTGTTGATTGCTTTGCATGTACAGTCCTCCCTCTTATTCTACAGGGGTTGGTTTCATGACTAACACCCCACCACCACCAACAACAGATAGCAAAACCCATCGTTGGTCATGTCCCCTCCTCCTACAGACTTTAGACATGGTGACTACTATGTGAATGGTTGTTCAAGGTGTAGTGACAAGGGGAAAAAATGAGTACGTGTTGAGTACAAATGCAACTTTTCCCTTTGGTATTTAAAGCCCAAGGTAACTTGAATGAATAGTGGATTTGGAGCCTAAGGATTATAGAGAGGTTGCTATAATAATCAGGAGGAATTGTTTCTTCTGATTCTTACTGATTGCTGCTCTTTGATTCTTCCAATTACTTGAAGCCTACTAATTGAAGGTAAACCATGTTCTAGGGAATTGATCCAGAGCATCAGATCTTGGACCCAGTGTCAGGTCTCATTTATGTTGAGAGGATAAGTGTTGTATGAAGGGGAGGGATCTTTAGCAAAGAGAGGAGTCAGCCTATGCAGGGAATTCCCCCACAGTCTTCAGACTATGTGCCTTGCATGAAGCAGGGGCCTTGAGATGAGCCTAGGGTCTTGTGCTGAGAAGAAAACTGCCGTTTACCCAGGACAAGCTCTCCTTACATGAACTAGCTTCTCTGCATGTCCCTCTCAACACTGGTCCACATTGATTGGCATTTTGATTTCCTAAGCTGGCAGACTGTAACAACCAATTATTAACTGGGCATGATGGTGCACACTTTTAATCCTAGCACTTGGGAGGCAGAAGCAGGCAGATCTCTGAGTCCGAGGCCAGCCTGAACTACATAGCGACTTCCAGGCCACCTGGGGTTACAGGGAGACCCTGTCTTAAAAAAACAAAACAACAACAAATTACTGAGTACATTCTGAATGTGTCCCCAGAAAACCTCTGAGTTAGAACTTAAAATGGTTCTTTAAATGATCAAATCACGCCAAATCAAATTCTTGAGTGTTCCAATCAGAGGGAGAACCCTTGTATTGCAGTGTTGTGTTTTATATCCGCTCCTGCTGTCAGCATCCCACAGGCAGCCATCCTCAGGACTTGTGCAGATTGATGCTACCTCCCAGTCCTCAGGTGCACACTTATGAAGAGATAGCCACATGCACAGCTTGCCTTTAAACCCCTTTCCCTATGTAATCAGGAAAGCTCAATGAAGGACCTGAATTTGTGGCAACAGGAGGCTGTACCAAACTCAATCTGGTTGCACTCCATGGAGGAAATGGTGTGCTGCTACCACCCCCACCTCATGCATGCCTGCTTCCTGCTCTTCTGTTTCTTTTTTCCTTCATTTGTGTGTGAATGTACCCCTGTACTTGGGCCTGTGTTCACATATGTGTAGGGGCCAGAGGTTAATGTTGAGTATCTTCCCCAATTGCTTTCCACCTTATTTTATGTGCATTGGAGTAGGGGATGTATGTATATATGTGTTGGTGTGGAGACCAAAGATCAGGTTCCTGGCTTCGTGTCAGGTACCTCCCTGGATTGTCCTCCGCCTTACTTATTCTGAGACAGGGTCTCTCATGGGAACTATTGCTCACCGATTTGACTAGACTGGCTGGCCAACAAACCCCCTGTCTCTGCCTCCCCAGCACTGAGATCACAGGTGTGAATTGCAGTATCCAGCTTTTTCACATGGGTGTTAGGAATTCAAAGTCAGGTCCACATATTTGGACAGCAAGCATTTTACTAACTCAGCCATCTCCCTAGCCCCCTGTTTTCCTGTTTCAGACCTGTCTTCAATTTGCTTAAGTCAGTGCATTGTTTGTGCATGGCACAGAAGAGAGCAGTAGAAATAGTGGGGAGTGACTCGCTCTGTCACTAGAGGATAAGCAGTTAAGCACAGAAGTCAGCCGTGGTACAGTGTGCACAGACCCTGTAGGCCAGGCAGGATAGTGAAAACAGGCTGCAGATGACCATTTTGTGATTCATCGTCCCCAGTCCAATGAGGACAAGTGGCCTGAGACAAGCCTTGGCAGTGTGGGATATCAGAGAGCCAGGGAGATTCAAGACTGTGCAGCAGAGCCCCTGGGCCCCTTAGTCCTTCTTGTGGTTCTGTTCTGCCAGGCCTTGTTTAATCATCCTGGAAATAAGAATAAGTTTTTTTGGTTGTCTGGAGTTTGTTATTGCAGAAAGATCTGACATGAGGTCTATAGGTTTTAGACATGCTGTTTGTATCAACCTCAAAGGCCAAAGCCCTCAGCTTACCACTAAGAACCATTTCAGGAACCACAGCCTTCAGAGTCACCATTACAGCTGCCTACTGGGATCAGGAAGTCACAGGTCTTCTAGTGGGCTAGCTCCAGTTTCATAGAAAAGCCAGCGGCTAGATGTTAGAATCTGAAATCTCTCAGAAATGAACACCAGGAAAGGCCTGTACAGGGATCACAGTGTCAACTTGAAGGCATTATCTCTCACTGATCTGAAAGCCCCAGCATTCTTGGTCGTGGGACTGCTGCACATAAAAACAGCATTGGCATATCCAGACTATCTTCTCCAAGGCTGCAGCTCTGCCAGTTACCTGCCTCACACCATTATCTCCCTTTGTGCTGTATTCTCTGCAAGCATCTGGAACAGCTTGCTCCTGTCTCATGGTTCTGTGGGCTATCAAAGTTGCTTGTGTCCAAATGTTTAATAACCTCTTCATTGCCCTCCTGTCATTTGCAGTGAAGCAGCCAAAAGGTCTTGAGCCTTCTGTGGTCAGTTGTTGGTCACTGGTGGCAGAAACCATGTCTCTACTGAAGTAGGTCACACTTGGTTTGTAACCACTCATTAATAAACTAATGCAGCTCGAACAGGGGAAAACCAGTCATGGCTGTTGGTTTTAGTTCTTTGTTGTACATGATGGTTCGGTTGCCTTGGTATTCACAGGGAAGTAAAGCCTCAAGTTCCTTCTTTCCCCTGTTGTAGAGAGGAGTGCACTGACAGTTGGAGAAGCTCAGTGCATGTGCGTGGCTTATCACCATCATTTGAGGACCTTGGTCCTGTCCTCAGCAAGTGTCCACCAAGTTTGACCACTTAGCTGATGGAGTGCTGCAGCAGGAGCAGGGAGTGCCTAAGACAGCAATTGGTGGGGCTCAGTGCAAAGCACAGCTGTTTGGTTTCTTTTGCACTTTACTCAAGGACTAGGTATGGCTAAATATGGCCTGTACAGGACTGCAACAACACCTGAATTACTTTTTGCCCCATGACTTAGTAAGATTACAACCTTTGGTTTCCATGAAGAAAAGAATGAACTTGTTGTCTGACTGAGACTATACCCAGATGATTTTGAAATGAATATGAAAGAGGATCAAGAAGCTACTATGGTCAAGAGAGGCTGTGGGGGTCAAGACTGCCCTCCTTCCTAAGCTGACTCTGTGTGTTTGTTGTGCTGCTATTTCAGAGGATGTTGCACTGTTGTGTTAAGCAGGCATGTGTCTGTTCATTGATCCCTCTGTGGGATAAAAGTCATGTCCATCCTGCTGGCTAGAATGCCATTCTGCCTCCTTGGGGACACAGTTCTCAGAAAAAGTTACCATTGAGTAATTTTAAGAAAGTAAAGAAAGGAGCTGGTCTGGTGCCAGTTGTGGCATATGCCAGTCAGATATGCTGATGAGGCAGAGGCAAGGGGATCAGGAGTTCGTGGCCAGTCTGGGCTACACATTTGCAGACAGGTGTGATGGTACATGCCTTTAATCCCAGCACTTGGGAGGCAGAGGCAGGCAGATCTCCATGAGTTTGAGGCCAGCCTGGTCTACTTATCAAGTTCCAGGCCAGCTGGATCTACAGGGAGACCCTGTCTCAAAAAGACCAAAAAAAGAAAGGTGGGGGGAGTGGGGCTGGGGAAATAGCTCAGCTGTTAAGATATGAAAACAGACTGCAAATGGCCACTTTGGGATTCATTATCACCACTAGATTGGGGACAGTGGCCTGAGTTTGGTTCCCAGCACCCATGTTATACCAGCTCTAGGGAATCCAGTAGTCTCTGTGGGCATCTGCACACTCATGGCATACACACATATACACATTAATAAAAATAAATCTTAAAAAAAAAAAATTGAAGAATAGGGCCAGTGAGATGGGTCAGTGGTTCGAAACACTTGCTTTGCAAGCCTGGTAGCCTGAGTTCAGTCACTGGAATGCAGAGTAGAAGGAAAGAACTAACTATACATAGTTGTCCTCTGATCCCCACACATGCACAGTGGCATGTACACACACATACACATAGAGTAGTAATAATAATAATAATAATTATAATAATTATAATAATAATGAAAGCTCCAAAAGCTTGTAGTTGTCATAAAAGTGAGTAGCTGGGCCCAGTACCTTGGAGTCTGTTGATATATTACATGGACTGCTGCACTCAGGCACCTGTCACAAACCCATGTGCGTTCACACACATGGATTTGTGAGCCACTGGAGCCATTGACTCCAGATAGCCATTGAGTTTGGATAGGAAGAAGGAGTACAATTGAGTGCCTCTCTCACAACAAACCATGAGTTTTCCCATTGATCACAGAAGTGGGAGGCAACTGGGAGGTGACAGGGCCCACCCCTGAAACTTGAACTATAT